CTCCTGGCCACCGCAGCCTCGACCTGCTGGACTCAGGTGATCCCTCTGCCTCAGCCTTCCAAGGAGCTGGAACTACAGGCGTGCACCACCATGCCCAGCTAATTTTTTGATTTTTTTGTAGAGTAGATGTCTCGCTCTGTTGCCCAGGCTGGTCTGGAACTCCTAGGCTCAAGTAATTCTCCTGCCATGGCCTCCCAAAGTCCTGGGATTATAGGCGTGAGCCACCACGCCCTGGCTTTTTTAGCATTTAACTTGCCCTGTAGTCATCAACAGGGGACAGAATGGGGTTACTGAAGGCAGTTGCTGGTAATTGTCTTGCAACCCCTCAAGCATGGTCTGTCTTCCTGCCATCACGAAGTACTTTCATGTGAAGTATCTGTCTTCCTGCCATAAGGGTCCAAGCTGGCCTAATCTGTTGCCATCAGCCCTTTGTGAGCCACACAACACAAGATTGCCATCCTGTCATCGTGACGACAGTTCCTGTGCTCACCTGCCCTTCTCCTCTATGTAACTGACCCCCCATTCGCCTGCCCTGCCCACTCCCCAAAACACTCATACAAGCATTCAGTCTCAAACACGAGCCCCTACATTTTCTGCATACACCTGGCCCTCTTTTCTCCCTTGAAAAGAGGATTCACCCTCTCTCTCATGCTCGTGGCCACCACAGCCTCGACCTGCCAGGCTTAGGCAATCTTTCTGCCTCAGCTTTCCAAGTAGCTGGAACCACAGGCACATGTCGCCATGCCTGGCCAAGTTTTCATGATTGTTATTGTAGATATGAGGTCTCGCCACGTTGCCTAGGCTGGTCTCAAACCCATGGGCTCAGGCAATCCTCTCACCTTGGCCTCCCAAAGTGCTGGGTTTAGAGGTGTGAGCCACTGTGCCTGGCCTTACCTACTTTCTAATTAAACTATTTTTTTCCCAATCTAATTTCTGTGCACTTATTTGCATCTTACCCACAGCCCTGGCCCACGGACCTAACATATTTAAGCACTATTGGACGTTTTAAGCTTTCACAATGGACACTGTGACGGATATGCCAAAAGGCACTCCCTGCTGGACTGGCTCCCTTGAAAGAGCAGCAGTGAGGCTGGGGAAATTCGCCTTACACCAAAGGACAGTCTGGGTTGGTACCCAGTGGTTGGTTCCGGAATAGGTGAGGCTTGCCCACTCTTCTGTTTAGCACACCACAGACGTACCTGTCACGGCGGGAAGCCGGGCTCTCCTACCATGTGTCCGAGGACGCACCAGACGCCACCGCAGCCATCTAGCTCAGAACCGATGCTCGGAGGGGCACAGTGGAGAGGCGGGAAGAACCGGGGCCCTTGATGGCATCTTTGAACCCCCGAATCGTGCAGCTAGAAGACTGGCCTCACTCTGGTCTCTGAGGTGTAAGTGTCAAACGTGCTCCTGTTAAATATGCCAGCTTAAGGAGGGTGCCCTCCTAGGTGCAGCTTAAAGTAACCTAAAAGATGCGATGCCATTCCTGTATAAAATTGCTAAAACTATTTTAAAAAGTAGATCCACAGCCATACCACCCTGAACAAGTTCGTCTGTTCTCAAAAATGTAATGGGTACAATATGTTCTGTATCTTTAATAAATAAAATATGTGCATGTGGACAAATAAACAAATATGTGAATGTGGACAAATAAACAAATATGTGAAAATGTGAATAGTATTAATTGCCATGGGTAGCAACTGTCCAGAGTCATGGATGGTGAAAGAATTCACACCCAAGTCAGATCAGAACAGCGGGCAGGTTTGCTGAGCGCACTGCAAGGGGGCCCAGAAGAGCAGTCTGCCAGGAGTCAGTGGTTTAAGGTTGTTTTTAAATGGGAACTGGCCTCTTTTTGCTTCCCCTCATGTACCTGAGGGATCGAAACATGGCAGTTCTGATCAGTTGGTGTTCGATTAATGGTAGGCCACTCATTGGTCAGCTGGAGGTTAACACAAGGTGGCTCTTGCATAAAATTGTTTCCACAGTAATCTCTAGCAGTGGCATTTTTTCATTTTACTCTTCTGTGTTCACCAAGTTTTCAAATATAACAAGGATTGTGTGATCATATAAATTTATCACATTCGTCCCTTGCTTTGCTGATTGTCAACATTTTTCCTTCAAGCTTTATTATTTTTTTTTTTTTTGAGTTGGAGTCTCACTCTGTCACCCAGACTGGAATGCAGTGGCGGCTCCCGGCCACCGCATCCTCGACCTGCTGGGCTCCGGCGATCCTTCTGCCTCAGCCTTCCAAGTAGCCGGAATTACAGGCATGCGCTACCACACCCGGCTGATTTTTTGATTTATTGTAGAGATGAGGTCTTGCTGAGTTGCCCAGGCGGTTCCCGAACCCATGGGCTCAGGCAATCCACTCACCTCAGCCTCCCAAAGGCGAGGGATTACAGGCTGAGCCACTGAGCCTGGCTTCAAGCTTTATTAAAAATATACTTTATACAGGCCGGGCACAGTGGCTCAAGTTTGTAATCCCAGCACTTTGGGAGGCTTGAGGCCTAAGCTCAGGGATTCGAGACCAGCCTGGGCAACTTGGTGAGACCTCGTCTCTATAATAAACCAAAAAGCAAGCCAGGTGTGGTTATTTTGGGCAGTATCAGCAGTTGCAAATTGAAGGGCCCGTAGCTCCAGCTACTTAGAAGGCTGAGGCGGAAGGATCGCCGGAGCCACAGCACTCCAGCCTGGGCAAAAGAGTGAGACTCTAACTCAAAATATATTTGGTAAGGGCATTAGAAGCCTTCTGGTTTTTAATGGAAAGGCTGAAATATCCACCAAGTCCCACTGACTTGGTGGGACATGAATCCCCAACTTCTCCTCCCAGCACCAGACATCTGCTGCATCTCTGTTCAGCCCCTCCAGCCTTCCAACTGTTGCTTTCTGCTGGGCCTCTTGGAACCCTACCCTGTTTATGCACAATATAGACGCAGCCAAGGACTTGAAGGGCCCCCGTAAGGCACACTTTGGGGCTCTGTGGCTTCCTCCTCTCTGGGATGCTCCCTTCAGCTTGCACCTTGTGGGACTGCCGCTTTCTGTTCCATCCCGGAGCCACAGGAGGAATGGTGGCTGAAATGCGGGTCTTACAGGACGTTTCTCTTCCTTTGATGGCCCAGTCCCCCCACCCTTTCTGCCTGTCTCTGTCCTCATCCAGCACATTCCAGTAGCATGCACACCTACAGCAGGTGAGTCTGACACATGCTGTCCTGCCCTCACTGGAAGCCAGACTACAGTCAGATGTTCAAGTGTCATTTCCAATACAATCAAATCCAACTTTCTCTTGTGTCTTTATCCAGGTGATGGCTGCACAACAGCTTTCACTTTGTGGAAATCTGTCAAGGTGTGTATTTGTGTACTGTTCTGCATGTGCTACAGACGTCAATAAAAAGTCTATCACAAGAAGCCTGGCTGGGCATAGTAGCTCATGCGGGCACTCTCAGAACTTTGGGAGGCCAAGGTGACAGGACTGCTGGAGCCCCGAGGTTCCAGATCACGCCTGGCAACACAATGAGACCTCATCTCCGTAACAAAAATTAGCCAGGTATGGTGCCATATGCCTGTAGTCCCAGCTACTCAGGAGGCTGAGGCGGAAAGATCGCCGGAGCCCAAGAGGTCGAGGCAGCAGTGAGCCATGATTGTGCCACTGCACTCCAGCCTGGGCAATAGAGTGAGACTCAGACCAAAAAAAAAGAAGAAAAAGAAAAAGAAAAGACCCAGTTTAAACCTCTCAGGGCTTTCTTGTGCCCCCAGGATCACACTCTGCCCTCCCTGGCATGCCTCTCCCAGCCAACACCCTTGCCACCCAGGTTCACTTGCAACTCACTCAATGAGATACATATCAGTTCAAGCCCCTCCCTCTCCCCCGTCACCCTCAGCCCCCATGGACAGCACCTACTTACTGTGCAGGAACATGAGGCCTGATTAGGCTAGCATTAATTGAGTAAATTTGGTAAACTATTTTCAGGAAAGGGACCTCAAGATAAAAGTCTACAAAGAAGCTTACTGGTAACAGCAAGAAGCTGCCAAGGCTGGATGGCCAGCTGCAAGACATTTGCTGTTGCCAGCAGAGAAAGTGGCTAACAACTCACTGTTAGTTCCTGTTCTGCAACAAACAAAAGGCAGTCAACTGATGCTGTTAACTAACCTTGTCTTAAAGAAACAAAAAAATTAGCTGGCAATCAGCTGCATCAAAGACCTCTGGAAACTCCCTATGACAGATCACCCCAAAGACAATTTCCCATTGGCCCACACTGGACTCCTTTCTTTCTTTTGCCTCAAAAAGTGACATTTATTCAAAGAAAAAAAAAATGACAAGATGTCCATCCCTTGGCTCCCTTCCCTCCCACCTCCGGCTGCTCCTCAGCCCTCAAGACTGAGCCTTGGCTAGGGCTAGGTGGCAAGACAGCCCCTCTAACGTGAGGTCAGCAACACTGAGGGGCGTCTCCTCAATGGAGGTGCTGTAGAAGGTCTCGGTGTCTCGAAGAGTCCTCGTCTTCTTTTGTCACCATGTTCATAGCCACACCCTTACGGCCAAACCGGCCACCACGACCGATTCTGTGGATATAGTTTCCCTGTGGGTAGGAAGGTCACAATTGATGACTAGAGAAACCTGCTACACATCAATGCCTCTGGCCAGCAGGTCAGTGGTGACCAGTACTCTGCTAGAACCAGAGCAGACCTCCCTCATGATCACATCTCGTTCCTTTTGGTTCATAGCGCCATGCCTGGCAGAGACAGTGAAGTCTCGGGCATGCATCTTCTCAGCGAGCCAATCAACCTTCCTCCGGGTACGGATGAAGATGACCACCTGGGTGATGGTCAGGGTATCATGCAAGTCACACAGTGTGTCCAGCTTCCACTCTCGTTCTGTGTTGATACAGAATTGGTGGATACCCTCCAGGGTCATTGCTTCCTTCTTGACAAGAATCAGAAAGGGGTCCCTCATGAACTTCTTAGTCACTTCAAGCACATCAGAAGGCATTGTAGCTGACAGTAAAACTACCTGGGTTTTGCTGTTGAGCTTCTGGAATACATCATAGATCTGGTCCTTGAATCCACAACTTAACATCTCATTGGCTTCGTCCATTACAAACATCTTGATGTACTTTGGAGACAGGTATCTCTGGTTACGCATGCCAAACACGCGGCCAGGGTACCCAGGATGATGTGGGGCGCTTCCATTTGCAGCTTCTGTGCCTCAGCATGCACACTGGTGCCCCCAATACAGACGTGGCAGGAGGCACCCATGTAGTCTCCTAGTGCCATGACCACCTTCTGTATCTGTTGAGTCAGTTCTCGAGTAGGTGCTAGAACCAAGGCCTGGGTAGCCTTTAGATCTAATTCAATCTGCTGCAGAATCGACATGGCAAATGTGGCCATCTTCCCAGTCCCAGATTGGGCTGGAGCGATCACATCGTAACCCTTGATACAAGGAAGAATGGCTCGCTGCTGGATGGCAGAGGGCTTCTCAAAACCATGGCATAGATGCCACGGAGGAGGGATTCCAAGAGGTTCATGTCATCAAAGCTGTCAACAGTCTCATTCCAGTTACTCTCGATGACGCCTTCGGGTTCCATTCCATTGGGGCCATTGTCTCTGGATCGGGAATCCTGACTCGCAGACATGATCCTTAGAAGCTAGCTGGACTCCTTTCTTAAAATCATCTGCTAGCTCCTGCCTCCTTGCAGATACTCTCTGCCGTTTGGCCTGTTTTGCCCTTCACAGCATATCTTCCCTTTAATAAATTTACCTTTTTTTCTGAGTCGGAGTCTCACTCTGTCGCCCAAGCTAGAGTGCAGTGGCACGCTCACGGCCACCGAAGCCTCGATCTGCTGGGCTCCGGCGAGCCTTCTGCCTCAGCCTTCCAGGTAGCTGGGACTACAGGCATGTGCCACCACACTTGGCTGGCTGATTTATTGTAGAGACAAGGTCTCACCAAGTTGCCCAGCATGGTCTTGAACCCCTGGGCTCAGGTGATCTTCTTGCCTCTGCCTCCCAAAGTGCTGGGATTACAGGCATGTGCCACCACACCCAGCCAAATCTACCTTTCTTACTGCGTAACTATCTTGGCGAATATTTTCAGCCTCTGTGACTCCGGCCATACCCAGCTTGGGACACCCGGCACTTATCTTTCAGGCTCCTTGCAGCAGCTTTTCCTGACCACCCCGTCCCGCCTCCTACACCTCAGATGCCCTCTGCTGTGCCCTCGCATACACTAGCTCCCCCTCCCTCCATCAAAGAAGGCTGCCCTGTGCAGTGAGCACCAACTGAACAGTGGGGACTGCGTCCACTTATACCCATCAAAGTAGGCACACAGAACTGGCCAGGGGAACCAAGTCCATGGCACCCTAAGAACTCAGGGACAACTAGGCCCAGCTGTCGCATGACACACTCCTGCTTTGGGGCTCCCCTCCAGCAGAGGCCAGACTCCACGTAGGGCAGCTCCCAGCGGCTGGGGTCCAGCAGGACTCCTGGGTGCTATGCTGAAAGTCCAAAGAACTGGCCTCATCCAGAACCCAGTTCCAGGGAAGCCCTCCCTCCTCTGCCCAGTTTGCAACTTCTGCCAGGGAAGGGGCTGGGCTTTGCACGCCATCAATCTGCCCTCCTAAACACAAAAGCTGAATGATGGACCAGACAGTTTCAAAGGAGAGAGGGAAAAGTTTATTGTGTCGAGCAGACCTTATTTTCATCACAGCACCAGGAAGTTCGTTCTCAGGTCCCTTCTGATGCAGACACATAAACCCAATGATGCTTCCAGCAAGGGAGGCTGCACATGGAACGGGATCACAGGAAGGCAGGACATTATGCCACAAAGACTCTGAAGCACAGTTCCCTTAAAAACTGTGACGCTGTTCCAAGCTTACTGCAAAACATGGTACCCGACAAACTTGTTCTCAGACTGCCAACCACTCCCCAGTAGCTGCTATGAGGAACCATGACCATTTCTCAGGAGACCTCAGTGGTGAAAAGGAAGGCAAACACAGGCACCGCCGAGCCCGGAGGCCCGTGCCACACCCCCACTCCTGCCCCACACCCCCTCCACACCAGGCCTCTGCGTCACAGGCATCCGAGACATACTCGGGAGAGGGCCTCTTGCTCAAAACATGGCCACGGCCATGCAGCTTAACTTTACGGACTACTTCTGGGGGCCTGCAGCCACGTGAGGCTGGTTTTGTGGTTTTTATTCACTGTTGTTCCTCAATGACCCCCGAGGGCAATTCCTCTGCTCAATTCACTGATTCAGGGCCTGCTCAAATGCTTCCGTATTACACAGACAAATGAAGGACAAAGCAAGGAATGGGAAATCTGTATACTTCAGATACTCTGAGACATCAACAACAACCTGAGTTAACGACATCTAGTTTGCTTGAATTCAATCAGGCAACTGCCAAAGTCCTGATGAAGATCTTTCCCTTCAAGATCTTGCTTTGTTTTCTCAAGGCAGAGAAAGCATGAATTTAAATTAAGAAATATTACCCTACCAAACTAGATACGGCAAGTCATATTTAACTTGATTAACTCCAATGATTCCACAGAAAGGTCCCCATAAAATCAAGTGTTTGAAAAACCGATTATCAAAATTACCCAGCAATGAAATATATATTTAAGTAACCTGCACATAGTGTACCCTCCACTTTGACTTCCCATTTTGGTTACCAAGGGAAAGCATCCATGGGCAGGTTCACCTATCCATTTCATTTCCATGAAATCTGATGCCACAGTACCAACACTCTATTCAGGAAAACACTGGCATTCCCTTGTAGCTTTCCCTTGCCCCTCTCAAGTTGAATTATTTCTTTTGCTTTTTCAGGCCAAATCAAGCACGGCAATTTTAGAAAAGGATTGCTTCCAATATCAGAATATATTCACAGGGGAGGTGGGAGGAATGGAGTTGCTTCACACTTGCCACAAGGAGGGTGGTACCTGACTGTCCGAATCACGGGTCAGCAGATTGGGATTCTGGCTCAAGGAAACTCCAGCTTCCTTCTGCCCCATCGCCCGGGCCGTCTCCTCCAGGAACTGGCCACCCCCCCACCCAGCTCTCAGCCTCCACCCAGCACTCAGTTCCCAAAGGCAGATGAAAGCCATTTGCTCAGGCACAGCCTTGACAAGGTTCAGGATGCGAGGGCCAGAGCCAAGTGCATTAAGCTCCATCTATGGACATATTTCTTGATATATACAATATATGGAATCTATGCTCTGCCAAGAGTTGCGTTCACCATTGATGACTGTGCACTTAGTAGATACGAAAACATCTCTATGTTCGATGAGAACTGCAACATTTTTGGCTGGGTGCAGCACATGCCTGGAAACCCAGCACTTTGGGAAGCCAAGGTGAGAGGACTGTCTGAGCCCAGAGATTTAAGACCAGCCCTGGCAACTTGATGAGACCTCGTCTCTACAATAAATCAAGAAAAATTAGCTGGGTATGGTGATACAGCTGTAGTTCTGGCTACTTGGAAGGCTGAGGTGGAAGGATCACCAGAGCTCAGCAGGTCGAGGCTACGGTGGCTGTGAACGTGCCCCTGCAATCCAGCCTGGGTGACACAGTGAGACTCCAATTCAAAAACAAAAACATAAACAAAACAGACATGCAACATTTGACAGATTCCCAACTTCAATGCTCTTATGGAAAACCAACATGCCATCACTCTCAACGTGGTAAGCATTTAGTATACATTTAAAACCAAACATAGGAGGCCCGAGACACTGACCATGGCAAGTCCCCACAGCAGGCTATGATAGGCTTTGAGCTCCATTAAATGCCACTGTTCACAGAACATAAAAACAGGTGCAAGTTGCTGCATGTCATTTTGACATATCACATTTCTTATTAATCTCCACTTATTCAGATCAAAAATTTCCATTATGGCATGATTGAGAGAAGAAAAATACTCTATATAAAAATGATGGCAAGAACAAGACGCTGTGAACAGTTACCAGAAGCTTAAACATTCAGCACAATCAATTCTTGCTTCTTGGGAAAAAATCTCTTACCCATCTTTCCAGGCACAGCATGCTTTCTTAGAGTGGAGACACGAGACAGAGCTGACCAAGACCACATTTAGTGGTAACACTTCCTGGAGCATTTTGGTTGGTTTTGAAAGGTGATATGCCACATGAACCAAAAAGTGAAACTGGCCATATCAGAAGCAAGCTGGGTCTTGCATTGACTTACATCAGGGTGGTGACAGATAACAGGTGATGAGAGACACTGGGACATACCTACCCCACAGAGAACACACTTTGCTCTGCACCCTCCTTAGAATAAGCATGAGAGGCCAGGCTCGGTGGCTCAGCCTGTAATCCCAGTACTTTGGGAGGCCGAGGTGAGTGGATCGCCTGAGCCCGCGGGTTCGAGACCCACCCAGGCAACTTGACGAGACTTCATCTCTACAATAAATCAAAAATTAGCCGAGCGTGGTAGCACGCGCCTGTAGTTCCAGCTACTTGGAAGGCTGAGGTGGAAGGATCACCAGAGCCCAGCAGGTCGAGGCTGCGGTGGCCAGGAGCGGCCACTGCACTCCAGTCTGAGTGACAGAGTGAGACTCCAACTCAAAAAAAAAAGAATAAGCATGAGAGATTCGGTTGAAAGGCATGGAGACAGGTGTCACAGCACCCAGCATCTAAAGAGCACATCCCAGGACTTGGGCATTTTCTGCTCAACCTCCCAAGACAAGAAACTGGCAAAACACACACTTCTGCTCACAGATGCAGACAGCAGTGGCAGCAACTCTTCTGAAGGCTCAACCAAACATGAAATGAAACCTGAACAGGTGTTTTTAGTTCTACTGACCACATCTCCTCAGCTGTTCTGTCCAGGCGCAGGGCAGGGAAGTCATGTGCGCCCTGTCGGCAGCAACCATGTTAAGCAACCTTCTGCATTAGAACAATTCATTGGTCTACTCCTCTTTCAAGCTATACCCTTCCCAATTTCTAATAAAATTGTAAAAGCAAAGTAAAAAGCTCTGTCAGAATGACTGGGAGGCTCCTAAGCTAACTTCTGTATCTGGAAATGGGAAAAATAAATTACTTGATATTTGTGACTATTTTTTTTTAAGCCTGGCTCAAGCCGGGCGTGGTGGCTCATGCCTGTAATCCCAGGAATTTGGGAGATAGAGACGAGAGGATGGCCTGAGTCCAGGGATTTGAGACCTCGTCTCTACAATCAATCAAAAAATTAGCCAGGTGTGGTGGCGCACCTGTAGTTCCAGCTACTTGGAAGGCTGAGGTGGAAGGATCGCCAGAGCCTAGCGGGCTGAGGCTGCAGTGGTCGTGAGCGCACCACTGCACTCCAGCCTGGGCAACAGAATGAGACACCTACTCAAAAAAAAAATCCACCTGGCTCAGAAGGGTGAGGGCTTAGCTGTTAATTTGTACTCTTTCCTCAGATTTTTTTTTTTTTAATTTGGAGTCTCACTCTGCCACCCAGGAGGGAGTGCAGTAGCACACTCACGGTCATTACAGCCTCGACCTGCTGGGCTTAGGCGACCCTTCTGCCTTAGCCTTCCAAATAATCCTCAGATTTTTTAAAAGCAGGCAAAATATGAAGAAAATGCCTGCATGCCATGTTAGTGCCCATGCTACTGTGCCCTGCAGCCTGGCAGAGGCGGGGCCAGGACACAGGAGGCTCATGCCGCTCAGGTCAACAACACACAACGCCAGTATGGTCTGTTCATCGGCAAAGACTGCTCCCAAGGGTGCAATGCTGGGCTACAGACGTGAAAACACACAAAGCAGTGATTAAGGGTTAACAGAGCTTTCATGATGCAGCTACTGGGGGTGCCAAAAAAACGTATACACATTTTAAGAGACATTATTTATGTATTACCTTTTGAGTTAAATTACAGTAGCAATGTGCAGTACAATGTTCACTCAATCGTGGTTCCAGCATTTTCTCTGACTGTCCTGCCTACCGCACGGTTACACAGCATTCATTTGACTAAGGAACACCATCTTCTGAGTGAACCTCAGACTCAAAATGTGCACACCCTTTTCTGGCACCCCCGTGTATGACATCAGGGCTGGTGTGGGCACCAAGGCAGCCCACAGTGCTAAAATAAAGGGATCATGGGACACAAAGTCATGAGAATCTGTCCTGGTCTTAGATCTGAGAGCATTTCGTAGAGAAAAGGCCAGCCCAGAGTCCTCTGATCCGAAAGAGCAGCCTAGGTAGGAGAGAACAATCAATACGCTGCTTGTCCCCAGGGAGTCCTGGGCCCCTGGAGACGGATCGCTAGAGGGGTTTAGTATGGCTGTATCCAGTAAGGAAATTGACAACGACATTTTCTTAGAAAGTGGAAAGAAAAGGCAAAGATTTTCACAAATACAAAAACTTTACAAAACAATTACCCGGAAAGTTCATCGGGGCTGGGTGAGGAAGAAGAACACATTCTTTCAAACCAGCCAAGATGGTACTAATGGTTTAAAAAAGAGACTGGCCAATTTCTGGTCTTCCTCTCCTTCCCCAAAACCCCAGAGCCTTCCTACTCCTGATTATTTCCCCAGCCCACCCCATCCTGGCTCCAAACTAATTTACGTAGCCACTGCACTGAGCCAGCCCTAAAGACACATGATTGTTGGTCAGGTTTGATTAAACGATGCACCTAATGCTTGGAAAGAGAAGGCAGTGAGGGCACAAGGAGCACACTGGCATAAGCCTTGAGTGTGGGCCTTGGGCAAAGCTTCTGCCTCCCTGACTCAGGGCAGCGGGGATCTGCAGTGCAGCACAGGCTGCAGGTAACTGAGGTAAGGATGAACACAGCAGCTCCGGCCGGCCTGCCTTCTGTGACAGGGCAACATGAGTGTGCTCTTGGGCAGGCACCAAAGGATGCGTTGTCTTCCAGCTGCCGCCGCCATCTCCCCCTCTGCTTGAAGACTGCTCTTCAGAGTCCCAAAAGATCAGCTACTTGTCTTCCTCCAAGGTACAAATCCAATAGTGCCTCAAGCCCAAAGATCCAGCACCCACTGGTGTGTGGAAGTCAGAATCAATGCTCATACCCAAATGGTGTGGCACACCTGCCCAGCCAGTTTATCAGCAGTTGTATAGACAGATCAGAAAAAAATTAGCATTTAATATAAAAACTGTTTTTCAAATGGTGTAATTTCTTATCTTCCTCCAGGGATCATAATTCTTCACGTTTCTGAGGTCCTATGAAAAGGAGAACAATGAAAAATAAAACATCATCCTCAAGCTATAAAAATACATCTCCTGGCCAGGTTCGGTGGCTCAACCTGTAATCTCAGCACTCTGGGAGGCCGAGGTGAGTGGATTGCCTGAGCCCAGGGGTTGGAGACCAGCACGGGCAACCTGACGAGACCTCATCTCTACAATAAATCAAAAAATTAGCCGGGCGTGGTAGCGCATGCCTGTAGTTCCAGCTACTCGGAAGGCTGAGGCAGAAGGATCGCTGGAGCCCAGCAGGTCAAGGCTGCGGTGGCCGGGAGTGGCCACTGCACTCCAGTCTGGGCGACAGAGTGAGACTCCACTCAAAATAAATAAATAAATAAATAAATCAGCTGGGCATGGTAGCACGCGCCTGTAGTTCCAGCTATTTGGAAGGCTGAGGCGGCAGGATCACCAGAACCCAGCAGGTCAATGCTGGGGTGGCCATGAGCATTCCACTGCACTCCAGCCTGGGCGACGGAGTGTGATTCCAACTCAAAAAAAAAAAAAAAAAAAATCTCCTGTCACTGTGACCTATTATTTGTCCCCCCCATCTCCATTTTATCTCTTATATTGAAATTTTAGGACTTTGGTTTACTGTTTTTGCATTATGTTTTGAAAGCAAAAACAAAATAAAGGAGACTTAAAAAAAATTGAAACTACCCGTAAATCCCACTCTACTTGAATTGTTTCATAAGTACAATTACAATATTTACTTCTAGTAAATATGCATTTTTAGTCAGGATTCTTCTTTTTTCACTTAATAGCACATAAACATTTTTCTATATATCAGTGAAGTTCTTTTTTTGGATGTTTAACCGTTTTTAATGTTTTTGGCTTGTAAATAATGGTAAAACAAATTTTTTCATGTACATAATGTTTTTCTTCTGTTGAATTATTTCTTTAAGAGAAATCCTCAAGAGAGAAATTATTGGGGATATAAACATTTTAAAGGCTTCTAATGACAGGTACACTGCTTTTTAAACAAGGGTTGTTCTAATACACAAAGCTTCAGCAAAGTATACCCAAACAGTGTCATTGCCATCTCCCCAACAAATGGCATCATCAATGTCTTAATTTTTTTCTATGTTACAGATACTAATGATAGGCCATTTTTGTTTAATTACTGTTTCCTTGAATTCACTTATTATTTGTGTTTTCCTCTTATTTGAACAGTGGTTCCACATTCTCTGCCCACTTATCTATGGAAATCCTTGAGGCTTTACTCAATTTGAATTAGTTATTTTACTCAATTTGAATTCGTTATTTTACTCAATTTGAATTAGTTATTTTTATGGCAACTTCTACTGCAATATTTAATATCATGGAATAGTCTTCAGAATATATAAATAAATCACTCAAGACCCATGATCTGAATCATTCAAGATTCATGTTCTAGCTGGACACAGTGATTTACACCTGTAGTCTTAGCACTTTGGGAGGCCAAGGTAGAAAGGCCAGGAGTTCTAGACCAGCCTAAACAACACAGCAAGACCCTGTCTCTACAAAAACAAACAAACAAACAAAAAAAACAACACGAGAGTTTGCCAGGAGTGGTGGCACACCCCTGCAGTCCCAGCTACTTGGGAGGGGTGGAAGGACTGCTTGCGCCCAGGAGGTAACAGAGTGAGATCCCAAGAAAGTAAGACCCCAACTTGAAAAAAAAAGATTCATGTTCTGTTTTGGACCTGGTCTAAGGTAGAATAAAATTTAAAATTCAGAGCTCACGTATGTATCAAAACATCACTATGTACCCAACAGATACGTAAAATTACTATGTGGAATTTAAAAATAAATAAATAAAAGGGTAAAAAAACCAACCAAACAAACAAAAACCCAGAGCAGAGCTTCTTAAAAGTTTTTTGAAAGTCTCTTTTGTATTCTGATTTTTTTTCCAAGTGGCTAGCATTCAAGATAGACACATAGTAGAAAAAACATTAGAGACTAAAGTCCTTCCTATTCTTAGACTAAATTGAATACACTCCAACCTCACCCCAGTGTTTATTTTTAAAAATACTTTTTTAAAGTCAGTAGATACTCTGTCTTAATCTAAATGTATTAATTCACTTGTGCCTTGACAAATTCAAGGGGAAAAAAAAAAGTCCAGGCACAGCGGCTCACGGCTGTAATCCAGCAGGTGGGAGCTGCCATGGCTGTGAGCATGCCACTGCACTCTAGCCTGAGCAACAGAGTGAGACTCCGACTCAAAAAACAAAAGAAAACAAACAAACAAAAACAAGGCATCTGACAAGTGCTCCCCTAAATAATGTCAGGTTTAGCATAGGTATGTATCAAAGAATTCATAAACCTAAACAACAATAATCACAATTAAAGCACTCTTTCTACCCTACCTAAAGAAAAAGGGGGGGGAGAGAAAAGGGTAGTAGTTGAATTAATAAATACTGTTTAAACCAGGTGCAGTGGCTCACACCTATAATCCCAGCACTTTGGGAGGCCGAGGTGAGCAGATTGCCTGAGCCCATGGGCTAGAGACCAGCCTGGCCAACTTGGCAAGACCTCACCTCTACAGTAAATCAAGAAAGAAAGATTAGCCAGGCATGATGGTACATGCCTGTAGTTCCAGTTTCTTGGAAGACTGAGGCAGAAGGATCCCGAGCCCAGAAGGTCGAGGTTGCGGTGGCCATGAGCATGTCACTGCACTGCAGCCTGGGTGAGAGTGAGACTCCGACTCAAAAAAATAAAAAATAAATGAAATGAAATGAAATGAAATAAAATAAATACTGCTTAGAAGGTGAACCAAAAAAGGAAAATGAAAACTACACACTGGTTGATGTGAGGCTAGAAGGGTTAGTGGGAGCTTTTTCTTTCCTCTTTATTCATTATTCTTTTGCTTTTCCAATTGAGAGAAGTCAGAAGTGCAAAGAAGTACTTCCCTAAAGTCAAAGGTTTGCATTTACCTTTTGGGTTAGGTTCTTCTGTCTTATCCTTATACAGCATTCCCCGTTCTTTCTCCTTCTGAAAGCGGGTCTGTAGCTGTTTGATCTCTTGATCATAGTCCTGCCACTCAGGGACAATTCTCACAGCTGCTTCCAGCTTGGGTTCTTTGGTCATTGGATTATTACACTGTGAAAACCAAAAGGACACGTTTTTGCTGACTTGAAGAAAGAGCACATTATTTAGAATTCAAAGGTTCTGGGATTACGAGTTCCACCTGGACCAAAGAACAATACTGAGGAACCAAATGATATGCTGCCAGAAGCAATACAGTAGTGAGCTATATAAAGTGGTATCAATTCTACAAAGACGCTGTGGGGGGCTACGAGAAACAAGGAAAAGGAAAAGCCCACTTAGAAAATGACAAGGCGCAGAGATGAAAGGGAAGCCCAGTGGGTTACTCAGCAGTGTGACTTGTGAAGACATCCTATCAGGTGCCAGGGGACCAGGCTTCCACTGCATGCAGAAAAGGGAACGTGGAAAGCACTGTCAGATGTTCCACAGTTTCCAAACTACCCGATGGCAGAGAAAGGCTAAATAAGAACCTGGTATTCACCATTACTCGGTCACACATCTCACTGGATGAAGACGCAGAGGAGCGCCCAGACAGCTTACCAAATCGATGGTTTTGGCCCTTTTCTTAGAGGCATCATCACACCATGTTTCACACCAAAGCCATTCTTGAGGGAGGGATTTAATTGGCACCTGATGAATCATGTTATTGGGCAAATCCTGTTTGGTAAAGAAAATCAAGTACTTAATTCCCAGGACATTTAAGACAAAGCAAAGTAAATCAATGATGTTGGCTGCTCATTATGTATCATTTGTCAGTCACAAATGTTTAGAACTGCAAGGGACCTCATCAAAAGGTCTAGCAAAGATGAAGAATTCATTTCTGCTGTTTTTCAAACTACCCATAATAAACCACTGAGAGGCTTTCACTTAATATTCACAAAGAGCCAGCAGCTAAACTTCACTCTGTGAGGACAATTCTAAGAAAAATACTCCTGCTGACTTTTGAAAGTCAACTAAATATACATGGTGGTTCTTACTTGTGCAGTTTTCTATCAAAGAAGCTCTGAATCCACCCTGACTATTGAGACCTGCTCTCAAATGGAGGACACCGTTCTTCTACCCAAATGTACTCCATGCTTTAAAGTTTGTCTCAGGATACCTTAAGAAGGTTTGTCACAATAAAATGTTTCACCGTGCTAATACTTACATGGAATACAACACTGATAGAATAAAATGTACAGAAATCATTAACTACAATACCTGTAAAGAATGACCCATGATGATATAAAAATAAACAGATGATGGTTCTCTTTACAAAACCCAACAAACTAAAATTTAAAAGTAGCAAGCCAGGAGCAGTGGCTCAGGTCTATAGCCCCAGCACTTTGGGAGGCCGAGGTGAGAGAACTGTCTGAGGCCACAGGCTGGAGGCCAGCCTGGGCAAAGTGGTGAGTCCCCATCTCCACAAAACATCAAAAAATTAGCTGGGTGTGGTGGTGCGTGCCTGCAGTTCCAGCTACTCGGAAGGACCTCCTGAACCCAGCAGGTCGAGGCTGCAGTGACTGTGAGCATGCCACTGCACTCCAGCCTGGATGACAGAGTGAGACTCCAACTCAAAAATAAAAAATAAAAGTAGCTACATTAGGATATCAAGTATTCATCTCAATTTATTTTACTTTCACTTACATTTTTACAAACTGTAGAACTTGCGAAACTACTGTAGAAAAGTTAAATCAAGACTACTACACCCACTCCAACTCTATATGCTGCTTGAAACAGAGTGGAAGCCTACGTTTAGTATTGGTGGATGAAGCAGAAGAGACTAACACCCTCCCAAGGACAACTAGAAAAGCTGAGTAAATTATGAAAGACAGACACCTTGTGAAAGCGCCAGAGAGCAGCCAAGATAGTAAAGAGTCACTGCTAAGTGGAGAACAGAGGTCCACAAACAACCCTGGAATCTGGAGTTTTTCCCTCAGGGTCATAAGCTGCTTGGTGAGGTTTCGGAGGCTTTCAACAGTCATCAGGCCTCAGACAACAAACATTTGTATGTAAGATCTGTGGTGGGCGAGGGGAATTCTTATGGAACCCCTGCTTGGGTTGGAGTCTGATTTAGAGGAAGAAAGAAACAGACATGACAAAGAATGCAGTTTGGTTTCAAGCCATTAATAATCTTCAACAGGATTAAAAATCCTTGGATGGCCAGTATGTCCAAGTTCCTAACAAAAATAAACATACAGCTGGGCTCAGTGGCTCAGCCTGTAATCCCGTGCTCTGGAAGGCTGAGGTGAGTGGATTGCTTGAGCCCGCGAGTTCAAGACCCACCTGGGCAACTTAGCGAGACCTCATCTCTACATAAATAAAAAAATCAGCCGGGCATGGTAGAGCGTGCCTGTAATTCCGGCTACTCGGAAGGCTGAGGCGGAAGGATCGCCGGAGCCCAGCAGGCAAGGCTGCGGCGGCCGGGAGTGGCCACTGCACTCCAGTCTGAGTGACAGAGTGAGACTCCAACTCAAAAAATAAATAAATAAAATTTAAAAATAAACATAAATTCAGTTGGATGATACCACTTTGCTTGACCTCAAAATATTTCTAAAAACAATTCTGCAAAAACAATGCCTGACACACTACAGAAAATAAACATGTGAGAGACAACTTGAACAAAAAGATAACAGAAAGAATACAAAAGGCAGGAAAGCTTCAAGAGTAGATGAAAGAAGATGGGCCAGGCTCCAGCCAGCACAAGCCCCAAGGAAGCAGGCAGATCAGAGGCGTGGGGTCCAAAGGTGGGCCTGAATGAGGGCCCTGCTAGAGAAGCTGCACGTAGAAGCTGGGCAGCCACCGAGTGCTTGTGGGTCAGGCATACCAAGCTCAGCATGTGTTCTGCAGAGAAGCATTTTAAACATTATTCTGTTATCATCTACCAAATTAACTATGGTAAAGTGTAACATTCTATTTTTTCCTTTATCTCATGTCAGTAGTATTTTAAAATATTGACCTATTTGTCAAATATTTTTATGGATGTCTTTGTCTCATGACTATGAACTACTGAAAGTGCACTGAACCTATTCACGTATCTTTTTCTTGAGTCGAGATCTCACTGTCACCCAGGTGAGAGTGCAGTGGCACGATCACAGCTCGCCACAGCCTTGACCTCCTGGACTCAGGTGACCCTTCTGCCTCAGCCCCGGAGTAGCTGGCACTACAGGGTATACCACCCTGCTTGGCTAATTTTTTGATTTTTGTAGAGACAGAATCTGGCGATGTTGCCCAGGCTGGTCTCAAACTCCTGGGCTCAAGCAACCGTCCTGTCTTGGGCTCCCAGGGTGCTGGGATTATAGGCAGGCGACACTGTGCCCCAGCTCATGCGTAACAGTCAGAAGGCAGAAATAAACCAAATGCCATCAACAGATGAATGGATTAACAAGACGTGGCATGTGCAGCAGGAAGGAAATTCTAACATGCTACAACACAGACAAACCTTGAGGACATTATGCGAAGTGAAATAAGCCAGACACAAAAGGACAAATATTACATGAGGTACAGTCATACAGACAGAAAGTAGAAGCGAGCACACCAAGGGATAGGAGGAAGAGAACAAGGGGAGTTAGTTAATATGTAATGGTACAGAATTTTTAGATGTGAAAAAGTTCTGGAGATAAATGGTGCTGATAGTTGCACAATATAAACACACCTAATGGCACTGAAACGTATACCTAAAAATGTTTAAGATGGTACATTTGATTTGTATTTTACCATGACAAAAAACAATAGAGGTGAAATAAAAATATTTCCCTCAACAAAAACTGAAAACAGGAGTTGAACTCACACTACGGAAAATTAGAGGACATTCTTGAAGCATAAGAAAAATGACCCTATGTGGAAGCCTGGATGTGCAGTGAAGATCAGAGTAAAAAAAGGGTAAACATGTAACTGTAAATCTACATTGATATGGACTGTACTAAACAAGAATAGTAACACCTTCCAGGGTTTAGAATCCAGAGACCTACAATACATGTCCATAAACCATCAAGGATGGGATGAGGCAGCATGGACTAACCAGTGTTGACCATTTAAACGCGATCTGTGGATACACGTGGGGAGCCAGCTAATGCGATCCTTCAGTCTAGCAGAGCTGCTGGATCAGAATCTGCTAGTGCGGCCCAGAGAGTAATGCTTGAATAAGGCCTCCCAGTGATTCTTGCAGACATGCTAAAATGTGAGAAGCACTGTTCTGATGTTTTTGCACTGACTGCTAGGCAGGTAAAATATATCAATTAATATGAGAATCTGCAAAGTCAGAAATGCATACTTATTTCTAGGATGAAGAACTGTAAACAAGTATATAAGTCAATGGAGGGAAAATGGAATTATTAAAAATTCTCGGTCAATGTGAAGGAAACTGACTAAAAAGAGTAGAGGTAAAAACAATAAAGGGATACAGAACAAGTGGAATAACAAATTATTTGTGATTACATGAACTATAAATGGACTATATTATAATTAAATGATTGTCACACTGGATGAAAAATACACTATGCCTAAATTTGTAGGTATTAGTGATACTGTCTCAAAATATGGAAGGCAAAATTTGACAGAATCAAAGATGAGATAGATTTCATAATACAGAAAAGGATTTTTTTTTGTTAGAGTCTCACTCTGTCACCCGGGTTAGCGTGTAGCGGGACACTTGTGGCCACTATAGCCTTGACCTGCTGGACTCAGGCGATCCTTCTGCCTCAGCCTTCCAAGTAGATGGAACTACAAGCATGTACCACCACACCCAGCTAATTTTTTGATTTGTTGTAGAGACAAGGTCTCACCAAGTTGCCAAGGCTGGCCTCGAACCGTTGGGTTCAGGTAATCCTCTCGCCTCTACCTCCCAAAGTGCTGGGATTACAGGCCCACACGTGGCCCAAAAAAGGACTGTTTTAATAGTCCTCTTAGTAACTAATAAAAAGAAGAAAAGAAGGAAGAAAAAAAAAGACACACAATAGCATTTGGCTAAAACTGATCTGATAGTTATATACAGAAAAACAATACACCTAGTATTTATAGAATATAAACACAGAAGAAATATTTACCCAAACTGATCACATCTGGCTCATAAAGCAAGTCTCAACAAACTTCAAAGGCCTGAAATCATATTCTGAGAATGTCCTCTGACCAGAGAGCAACTAAGCTAGAAATTAGTAAGAAAAATATAACTCAAGAATCCTCGTGTATTTGGAATCACTTCTAAACAGTAAATCAAGTCAACTAAGAAGAAATCACAAGGGCAACTAGAAATATAAGCAATAAAGAGATGCTGCATACAAAACACATGGAATGTAGCCCAAATCTTGCTGAGAATTTGAAAATTCACATGCCCAAACTGGAGATGATGAAAATCATTCACTGAACATTTATAGCAAGAAATTAAAGGGCAACCCCTTTGGGTCCCCTCCCACTGAGGGAGCTTCTCTGTCATCTCAATGAATCCTGTTTTCTCACTGCCAGCTGTCCATCTCCCTCATTCTTTCTGGGCATGAGACAAGAACCTTGACCCTGAAGAGCTGCAGAAGATCACCGGAGCCGAAGAGCCATACACCCCAGGGGCTGTCTTGCCAGCCACCGGAGCCAGGGGCACAAGGAGAGCTGCTAGAAGAAGGCGAGACTCCGAAGCTGAGACACTCCAGGGGCTGGGTTTGCCAGCCCACCGAATTGCAATCCTCTCA